ACATTCACTCTCTATTTAATCACAATCGGACGGTCCACATCAAATGCGATAGATGACCCAGATTAAATTCAGATGGATATAAATAACCCCTATTCGCACCAAATCCAAACTCTAGCCACCATACCCCCTTCGCCGGAGAAGAAGACCCAGCTGCCGGGAAGGAGACCACCACCACCCATCGCTGTGCCGGAGCCCCTTTCGGCTGCCAAAAGAGGTAAAAAAAATTTTTTTTGCTCAAAATTCAATTTTAAACACACCTATGGCCAAATCGGAGCAAAAGAACTGGCCGATTGGCCAAAAAACGTGGGCAAAGCCCGACGCCGCAGGGAGTTTCACAAAACATCTCCAATGCGGACCTTCCCAATTCTTGTTCTGTGTAATTTTTCCACTGTTGTGATCACCATTTCCTTCTCTATAGGTTGACCGAAGTAAAACACCCAACCGCAACGTGAGCCGAAGGAGTTGCCGCACCGGAGCACCTTGTCTCGGTGAGTTTTGGTTTTTTGTATTTTTTCGGCCAACCGAGACCCCTTAATGTGTTTTCTCACAGGGATTGATACAAAATTGGCTGAATTCAGCCGAAAATGGCCACAAACAGCCTATTCAAGGTGGGTCGCCGCAGCCCATCGCCAGAACACGGCAGAGCTGCCGTGCTGGAATTTTGGAATTGGCCAAAGTGGACCCTGAGACTAATTTTAGGTTTGTTTGGGACATTTGTAGATACTTATAGCGCGTTTTGATTCCCGAAGAAAAATTCAGGGAACCTAGAAACCGCCTGTAGGAGCAGTAAACAGTTTAGCTTTTTGGGCACTAAATTGAGTAAGAATCCCTCACCCTATTCTCTGTTATGGAATCGAAGTCTAAAAAAATAATAATACGATATTTTGTGTGATTTAAAAAATATTCATAATTAATTACGGGTTACTAATGGAGCCAGAACTGGAAATCATCTATTATTAATTTTGTTTAATTATTTTATAGTTAATTGCATGATAATATTTCATTGATCGATTTTATAGTTTTGAATGCATCTATTGTTTGATTTATGTAATTACCATTGAATTAATGAAGATTGAAGAAAAACAGAAAATTGTATGATAAGTGAATGGATGAAACGGCAGACTCACTGGATATCTTGGGATATGGTAGACGGACTAGGTGCAATAGGGAACCCTACCGTGAACGTGGTATCGAGACTTGATAATTTGGTGCTCATACTGGACGGGGTATGAGGACGACCCGTAATTGAAAATATTAAAGTAAAAGGTTCACGCGTAGCGGAGACATTCCTATGAACTCCCATAAATACCAGCAGACTAATGGATAGTGATAGTTGTTGTTTGATTTATTAAATATGGATATAAATTTATAATATGTGCTATGTTGCCGAGTATATATGAAATCATGGTACGTATAATATTATTGTGTCATAGGTTATTTTTATAAATCTTACCACGGTAAGTGAACAGAAAATAGTTTTATTTTTTATAAATGAATTTGTTTAATTAAGCGCTCTACTTGTTGTTTTAATTTTCTACCAACTTTTATTTCTGTATCGGTGATGTGGTGTGATATTATTTCTAGGCTAGTGTAGCTCATCCATTCTTTAGCAATTTCAGATCAAGAGGACCAGGATCCTGAGCCCGAGCTGCAAGAGGATTGTGAGTAGGATGCTAATTTTATTTATTTTCTGTTTATTTCCTTATTTCTTTGTATTTTCTTCAAAATAGTAAATTTCGTAACACTATTTGGTACTTTAAGTTATGTGTGTAGGGAATTTAAAACTTGAACATTTATTTCACTTATGCACTTTAATTATCATTTATTTTCTTTAGATATTTCTGGGGTCGTTACATGTTTATATACAAACATGTCCATCACATGCAATAAATATTTCTAAAAGTTGGGCAAATAAGAAGGTATAGAAGTAATGCAGATTAAATAGAGACTTATGGATGCTTTACGAATTGAAATTTAATAATGGATTTAAAAAATGGGTAAGCAAATAATAGAAGAGAAGATGAGATTTTCAAGACTTAAATACATGACTCTACCTCCAATATAATGTTAAAAAATTGACTAAACCCATTTTTTCAAAAGCATAACTCCACAGGTAAAAAAAAATTAATCTATCATTTTTATAAATAATAACTAGAATTGATAAGCACTCTTAATTAATGTAATAAGTAGTCAGTTAAAAATTTTAGAGGCACCTTATGAAAAACAAATATCGCCCATGAATTTGGCAATAAGTGTTGCTGCTATCACAATCTTTGGCTTGCTAGCAACCCAGTCAAACATGTCTTTTGTTACAGTATCTTCTATAACTACAAAAGCAACAGTCAAGAACAAGTGATATGCAGTTGAATGCATTGTAATCAGCATGTACTCTTCGATTAGTGGTATATTATTTTCATTGAACCACTTGGCTTCAGCAAAGTAGGCTTCAATTTATTTCTTAATCTATATTTAACCACCAAAGAACATATATATCAAAGCTTTCATTTATGTATGTCAATGTACTTAAGCTATAAATGTCCAAATACACACACACACATACAGAGATATAAGTTTATTACAAAAAATGGTGTCATGTACCTTTTGTTTTACATATTGAATTCGATATATGGTTCCTCTTTTGATGATCTCCTTTTCAATTTCCTCATATAATTCAAAAACTAATTTATAGCATAGTTTCATATAGTCTCGGAGATTATCTACAGTTTTCATATCCCACTTAATAGATAAATAATATACAATTGTAAGTAATATAACATTGTCATTTTATCAATAATTATTATAAAATCTACTTTTAGAACATATAGTAAGTACTTTCACGAACCTTTCAATTGCATCGGTAAAATGTTTAAGCTCTTCAAATGTTCCATATGCATCATACATATCATCAATTATTACTATCATGAAAACTAATTTAGTCATTATAATTTTCAGAGAAGATAATTGAGGTTCTTAAAATCCTCCTAATATCCATAAGTAACATTCCACTACTTGATCTCGTACAAATGGTAGTTTAGTTGTAATATGTTTGTCCTTCCAATACCGGTATAGAAATATAGAAAGAAAAAATATCTAAAAAATGACATTCATTCCTAAGGATAATAATGAGAAATTCATGAGGAATAATTAACTTACTTGGAGACCTCATTGAGCTCTTTCTTATAAAGAGATTGCAAGTAATTGAAATCCAATTTAGCAAAGTGTAGAAGTATTTTATTATGTGAAACATCTTTTTGATAGATAGAAATATATCTTTTAGCTTCTAGCCTTGGTAAGGTAATGCCCTGCAAATCGGTCGGTTTAAGGCCTTGGTTACTTGTGCTGCAAGAGGATTGTTGAAAGTTGCAAAAGACTTGAGGTAAGTGGTTACAAAGGTGCACACTTTCTCTAGTATATCTTCTCCATGTACTCGTGAATATGAAGCTTCGTAAAGCTCTAATATATCTATAACATTTTTATTTTTACATTCTTTAAAGCTTCTGTTGTTATCCTTGAACTTATTGAATATTCCTGTCCATTGCTGTTAATTATTTAAAAACTTAATCAAATAAGAAATTACCTAATTTAATATTTGTATTCTAATAAATACACATTGTATTGCTACTCTTTATTTATAAAATAAACTTATATATTATATGAACATAAACTATATATGTATCCAGATAATTATGACTTAGATAATTTGCAATTAAATTAAATAAAATCACAAAGACATACCTTATGAAATTTTGTAACCTTGTTGCCTGAGCAATCGAAATTAGAGAGCAATGATATAAAGGTCATTGCCATCGTTAATGGTATCAAGATCAAATTGAGTCTCATAGATCTGTTTCAAGATTTCATTGGTCTCGTTTTTAAAAGGGTAAGTCACACCCAAGTGTTGGATGATATCTATCAAAACGAGTTTCTCCCGTAAAGGCTTGTCAACCACGAGAATTAACATTTGTTTTACTTCCTTCTTCAGATTGTCATACTTTATTCTATCATTATTTTTTTTGTCATAGCCAAAACAAAAAATTAATCAGAATTCAGAATAATTAGCAATACATTAGAATAATAATGTTTTATAGACATTGTAGTATATTGATTGAGTACAGATTTAATTTTTTAAATTTTCTCTTCATCTTATATATGATAAACAATCAAGCATGCATAATGTATACGGTACGACTAGATACATAAAATAGTAAATACTTAACTATTAAATTAAAAACTATGTATTTCATGCTATGTGTGCATGTATATATAAGTGTAGTAACTATCGTACATATACAAATATATATTATTAGTGCAATAGGATAGAGAATAATAGTTTGTAAAGATCCGGAATTTGAAAGGGGATAAATTTTAAATTAAATGCGGAAGCAAAATAATAACGTTAGGATTTACATTCCTTACACAATAATTCAAATTACCCAATAGGGTTATGGGAATGACCATTTTAAAAGAAATAACGAAAAATCAAAGAAATAAATAGAAAATAAACAACTAGACATCTTATTCGCAATTCTCTTGTGGATCAGACTCTGGATCTTGGTCCTCTTGATCTAAAATAGTTAATGAAAGAATAAATTATACTAGTCTAGTAAAAATATCATACTATTCACCGACACAGAAATGAAGGTTGGTAGAAATCGTATAAACAACTAATGAAGCTATTAATTTAAGTAAATTTATTTATCATTAATAAAATCATTTACCTCATACTTACTATAGTGAGATTTCTAAAACTAACCTATGGAGTCAATAACATAAACAATATCATAATCTCATTTTCAATAAGTCAGAACAATAATTTTCTCTTTTATCAGCCTATCGGTATCCATGAGGATCCATAGAGATGTCCCTACTATGCAAGAACCTTTATTCAACATTTTTAACTAACAGACTATCCTCATACCCCGTCCGATATGAGCGCCAAAAGATACCATCCCTCAATACCCCGTTCGGTATGAGGGTGAAACGGGTCATCCCCATATCCCATCTAGTATGAGCGCCAAAATACAAATCCTTGACACCCCGTCCGGTATGAGGCAACGTTCACAGCAGGGTTCCCTATGTACCCGGTCCATCCACTATCTCCCAAGATATCCAGTAAGGCTACTATTCATCTATTCACTTAATCAAACAATTTTCTATTTACCGTTAATTTCAGTTTCCCAATTTAACTGTAAATCACGTAAAACAAGCAATACATTCATCAAGAAAACACAATCGAATTGTTATACCAATTCCAGTGTATTATCATGCATTCAAAACTGTAAAATCAATCAATCAGTTAAACATGACAAATAGTAATAAATAACTAGTTTTGGCTCCATTAGTAACCTTTAATTATCGATATTTTTATATTATGCAAAATAACATATTATTTATAATTAGACTTCAATTTCATAACATGGAATAAAGTGAGAGATTCTTACTTAGATTGTTGTCCAAAACACTAAACTTGCAGCTGTGCCTACTAACGGCCACCTGGGTTCTTGGAATTTCCTTTTGGAGATTAAAACACGCTTCGCGTACCTAGAAATACCCAAAAAAATATAAAATCGATGTTAGAAACCCTTTCTGGCCAATTTTAGAATTCCGGCACGGTAGTACTGCCACCTGCGGAGGCGATTTTCCTCGAACTAACTGTTTTTGGCCAATTTCGGTTGATTTCAGTCGATTTTGTACTCATTTTTGCGAGAAAACACGTTAAGGAACCTCAATTGGCCAAAAAAATTGAAAAACAGAAGCTTACTGGCAATAGGGTTTTCTGGTGCGGCGGCTCTGCCGGCTCACCTCCATGGTTAGGTGTTTTACTTTGACCAACCTGTAGAAAAAGAAATGGTGATTATAATGGTGGAAAAATTACACGAAACAGGAATCGAGAAGGGCCTCATCGGAGGTAGTTTTTTATTTTTTCTGTGGTGGCGCCACCAGGCTCTACCCGCGATTTCTAGCTCATCCGCCAGTCCTTTTATTCTAATTTGGCTATAGGGATGTTCAAAATTAAATTTCGAGCAAATAAAATTTTTTTTACCTCTTCTGGCAGTCGGAGGTGGCTCTTGCACGACGGCCGACTCCCTTCCCGGTGACTGGTTCTTCTTCTCCAGTGGGAGAGCCTAACAGCTAGTGTTAGGATTTGGTGTGAACTGATGTATTTATATCCATCTCCTTTTAATCTGAGCTGTCAATCGTATTTGATCTGGACCGTCCGATTGCATTTAAATAAGAAATAAATATAGACTGCTCATCGCGATTTGATCTGAATCATACGATCGCGTTTAAAGAGAGAATGAATCTGGACCGTCCATTGCGTTTAATCGCGACCGTTCGATTGCGCCTGAGGAGGGAACGGATCCGGACTGTCCACGTACGCGGGAACAAATTTGGACTGTCTCATCGCGGGTATGTGGATTGCCAGCATGGCCTCCTGCATGGCACTGCATCAGCGTGCCTTGTTATGCGGTGTGCTCCGGGTTCGTCGGGCATGCTGACTGGGCGGTCCTATGTGGCACATTTTTTAAATTATATTTTGACTCCCAGTTTTTTATTTTTCATTCAAAAACACCCCCATAACCCAAAATTTCACATTTTTCTCCCAAAATCATTTTCAATTTCATCATCTACCTATTTTTTCCTAATTTTTACATTAAATAAAAATTCATAAATTAAAAAATAAAATTTTATACATTAATTTTAAATTTTTTTAAAAAAATTAATTAAGGGTATTACAACTCTCCCCCCCTTAAAAGAAATTTGGTCCCTTAAATTTTTCTCTCTCTCACTCAATCAAATAGTTGAGAGGAGTCGGGGTTGTACTTGCATAGTAGGGACACATGGAATACATTATGGACCCTGGATAGTTCTAGAGGCAGTGCCAGTCTGTAGGCGGTGGTGCTAATTCTATCTAAGATTTCAAATGACCAAATAAACTTGGGATTTAGTTTTCCCCTCTTGCCAAACTTACTGATTCCCTTGAAAGGAATGACCTTAAGGAACACCCGATCACTTTTTTCAAATTCCAAATCCCTCATCTTGGTACCTGCATAACTCTTCTGCCTGCTATGAGCCATCTGAAGTTCTTCCTGATCTTAACTATTTTGGCTGTAGTCTCCTCTACAAGATGTGGACCGAATAATTTTCTATCACCCACTTCTTCCCAACAGATCAACGATCTGTATGGACGATCATACAACGCCTCGTACTGAGCCATGTCAATACTTACTTGGTAGTTGTTATTGCAGACGAACTCTATTAGGGGTAAATGATCATCCCAATGGTCCCCGAAGTTAAGAATACAAGCTTGGAGCATATCCTCCAGTGTGCGGATCGTCCTTTCTAATTGTCCATCGATTTGAGGGTGGAATGCAGTACAAAGGAACAATTTCATTCTCATGGCTTACTGAAAACTAGACCATAACCGAAAAATGAACCTGAGGTCCCTGTTAGACACTACTATCACTAGCACTCCATGTAACCTGACTATCTCCCGGATATACATTCTTGCTAACTTGTCTAAGAGGTTGGTCATTCTGATAGTTAAAAAGTGAGAAGACTTGGTGAACTAGTCAACAATTACCCAAATGGCATCATGTCTCGAGCATACCCTAGGCAATCTTGTCATGAAATCCATTATGATATATTTCCACTTCCACTCCAAAATTAGTAATGACTGAAATGTAACACCCCCAAATTTTATTATTATTTTTATGAATATATTTGTTTTATTTTAATTTTTTTGTAAATTTTATATGAATTAAATGATTATTTACATAATAATATATGGTTTTAATTTAGTTTAATTTAATTAAATGGAAATAAAAATAATAATAATGGTAAAAAGGGGTAAAATTATTTTTGAAATTTAATTGAAAATAATTTTAGGAAAAAGGGGTAAAAATTCGGATTCTAGGGGTGTTTTTAAAAAGAAAATCGAAAACTGGGGGCCAAAACGCAATTTAAAAAAATTGTGCCACGTCAGCAGCCACGTCAGCAGTCCCGACCAACCAGGACACGCCGCGTGGCAGAGACGCTGATGCGGGAGGCCACGCGGAACGAAGCCACGTGGGTGATCCGCATGCATGCGATCGGGCGGCTGAGATCCGTTCCAGTGCGCACGGACGACCAAGATCAAAAGCGCGTGTGGACGGCCCAGATTGCACGCGTGTGGACGGCCCAGATCGTATCGCGATGGACGGTCCAGATTCATTTCTAATTTAATCGCGATGGACGGCTCAGATTAATAGCATAATGTTATAAATAATCTCATCCACACCCAAACCCAAACCCTAGCCGCTAGAGCCCTCGCCGGAGAAGACAGCCCAACCACCGGAAGAATCGACTGCCGCCACCAGCCGCCGTACCGGAGCATTTTCTGGCCGCTAAACGAGATAAATTTTTTTCCTTTGGCTCGGATTTCAATTCTAAACCCACCTGTGGCCAAATTAGAGCCAAACCACCGGCCAATTGGCCAGAAAATACCGCCAAAGCCCAGCAGCGCCGTTGCAGGTTTCCTCAGTTTTGGCCTCCGATGAGACCCTTCCCGATTCCCGTTTAATGTAATTTTTTCACCATTGTGACCACCGTTCCTTCCTCTACAGGTTGACCAGAGCAAAACACCAAACCGCGACTCGAGCCGAAGGAGCCGCCGCACCCGAGAGCTCTGCCACCGGTAAGTCTCAGTTTTCTGTATTATTTTGGCCCACCAAGGGCCCTATGTTTGTTTTCTCGCAAGAACTGGTGTTAGTTTGGCTAAATTCGGCTAGAAACAGTAGAAAACAGTCAACCCGAGGCAGATCGCCGCCGCGTGCGGCGGCGCCGTCGCTGGAGCACGACGGGGCCACCGTGCCAGAATTCTAAAATTGGTCGAGTAAGCCTTGGGTCTGATTTGGAGTTTTTTTGGGGATATGTGCAGGTACAGGGAATCTAGGGACTGCTCATAGGCGCAGTGAAAAA